TGGCTTTCGTTGTTTTTGACACTCCGCACTGTTTGTTGCCTGCCACCTGTCGCTGCTGTATCACTGCAGTTCGCTGTGGTACCCACAAAGACTTATAGCCAAATCCATCAAAGTGACAAGATAACGTGACAACGTGGTAGGCAAACAGTGAGGTAAACAGCTGAGCAAACAAGTAACACAACTGACAGGCAACGGCGCGCAATAGGGCCATCAAGTGAAGGTAAACAAAAAAAAATAAAAATAAAAATGAAACCAAAGTACAAGCGCTGAGAGTGTTGTTCTAATAAATGGACATGCCACTTTGTAGCGCACATAGCGGCAGGCTATACAGGCGATAAGCACTTTTTTGGGTTGCCTTTGATACAATTTTTTTTTCTTTCGATTCTTTTCTTATTACCAAACAGTTACGGTTGCATTTCTTGTTTACCTGCAACAATTACAATTTTGTGGTAGAATTAAAAATGGAGGACACATTTTAGTTTTTTTAAGTAGATATTTGTACACTGAATATATGTATGTATGTACGTATGTAAGTACAACATTTTCGATTTTCGCACGCAACCCGAAACTGGCAGTAGCCAAGACATGATATGCCCTTAAAACTTCCTTTTTGATAATACTTGTGTATTTTATTGCACTTATTTTTTTTCGAAAATTTTTTTTCTCAGCGCGAATTTCTCATCTGAGCAGCGTGCATTTGTCTTGAAAACTCAGTTTGCTTGTGTGTCAGTGTATTGTTTTTATTTTCACTTTTACGTGATGAAAATGAAAATCTGCGTTTGCGGCATGCAACGCTATGTGCCATTTCACTTTAGCTCGCTCACCGCTTAAACAATAACAACATGCAAGTGCAGCTGCTGCCTGCTGCCTGCTTACTATGAGTACCAAGCACCAAGCACCGTCAGTATTTTTGTTTTTTTTTTGTTTTGTTGCAACGCTTAGTTTTCGGCTGCTTTATAGTTTTTTATTTTTTTACTTTTTATTATTGGAGTTTTTTGTGGTAGTTAAGCTTGGCGTTTGCCTGCCACAACTCGTAAATCTCGGCCAAACTTTCGCTGCTTTCGCATTTATCAAAATGGCAGCACAATGCCAGCTGTGTTCGTGTTTTTTGCTTGTATTTGAGCTTCATTTGCTTGGCTGCCAGTTGTTTCTCTTGCACACTTGGCGGACGTGTCAGCGAACTAGAAACTTATTAGAGCTGCAACATGACATGAGCTAATATGCCTTTCTAGAAAGTGAAGCGAAGAAAAAATTGTGTCATTTATTTTGTTCAGAGCTGAATGTAAATTTATTTTAAAGAGGATGTATGTATAAACACATACATACATATTTGTGTTGGTACATAGTGCTGAGTTGGAAAGTGGAGAAAATGGCGTAGATTTATACACAATATATCAAACTGCAATGGGTGTGGTGACTAGCAAATAAAATACAATTTTGTGTAGATAACAATTTCAAACAAAATATCACTGGTACATTCGCTGCAAAATACAGGAATAGGATGACCCTCACTGCGATTGCAAGGCCAGGTGAAGAAGGACTTGGTTTTACTTGGCATTTCCAATTGACGTCAGCTGGCACAGGAGAGAACCGGCTGCCGTTCTTTGTTGGTCGCGGCCAGAATCGCTTAGGCGGTTATAGCGCCAATAAAGGAAAAAGGAGCTGCTGGCTTTGGAAATTTGTTATCGAGAAAAAAAAATTATTAAGATATGCGCAGATAGGATTTCGATAAATAAACTTATGGTTGAAATTATCTATTTTTGTAAGTCGATTATAATTTGCATAATGTTATCGATAAATTTCTCCTTAAATTATCGAGGGTGGTAAAACATCGATTGTAAAATTATTGACTTTTTGATAAATATTTCAATTACTTTTCGATTAATCTATAATTATAGTTTAATGATGTCGATATGTATACTGTCTTTAGATGATTTTATTGATCGATAAATAAATTGCCAGCAAATATACTATTATAAGCATATGTGTACCTGTATATGCATACATACAGTGGTCAAAATTTGTATCTACAGTGACTATTTTTACAATATTCGCAAATTTTTTTCATAATATTTTTTTTCGTTATTTTTCCAAAATTTTTACAAAACTTAAAGAAATCAAATATTTTCATCAAAATTTCTTAATTTGAATTCAGAAAGTTTAGAACAATTTTGAGTGTGCAGTTTTGTAGCTCATTCAATTCCAGTGCAATAAAATGCAAGTTTCAAGTCAAGCTAAGGTTGATTTTTTTATTTATTTTTCTCTATGGTGTTGAGCGTTTTTTTTTCAAAAACAGAAAAAATTAAAAATTAAAAATCATCGGTAGTTTATTACGACTCGAAACGTGCACTTTATTATTATATTAAAATTGAATGAACATTTTTTAAAGTTTTTAAACCATTTAAAAACAATATGTATATAGTTTTTGTTGGATTAAGTTATATTAGGATATAGTTTTTGTTGGAAAAAAAAGTTTTGGCAAAATATTTGCGAATATTGTAAAAAAGAATCACTGTACGAATAATTATTTTGACCACTAAACACAATTTCGATAGCATACGGGATATTGCTTTCTATAAATAACATTCTTACTTTACTATTTTATATACAAATTAACCATAAGTTTTCCATAATTTTTCTTATTTTTTTGCATAATCTATAGTTGTGGCAAAATTCATAAAAATATTTTTCAACAATCAATTATTATTGTAATATGTTTTTTTTTTGTATAATATGTACATACTTATTTATTGAATCTTTCTTTCGAAACTAACAATAAGTTTTGAAATCTTACAAACTTAAAGGTTTTGAAAGAAGTCAACTAAAACTGCCGTTTGAATATCCAGAGCCCTTCCACAAGCGCAATACATGTACTCAAGGGATATCAAAACACTCTGCCTTAAACACCCACCTCACCCGGTCATCACATCCAACCAAAATTATTTGCATACACCCGAAAAATGCTAATGAATCTGACAGCTCAAGGTGGCTTGCTTGCTGCCACAGACAGCTGACATGCGCACACACATACACACACATGCATGCAATGTATTCTATTCGAATAGTTTCCAAGAGAGGACGTGCGCGAATTTTGCCAAAGAAGAAGCATATGTACATACATACCTACATAAATAGAAGACGCGCAGTCAGTTAAGGGTACAGCGCAAACAACAATTGCTAGGCTTGTCGTACAACATGTAAAACATAATGAACCCCACATCAAAGTGGTTGCCGCGACGTCGATTGCTTTTGGCTGTTGATGTTGCACAGTTGCAGTTGCGTGTCGAAATTGCTTTTGCAAATATCTGTGTTGCACACACATACATATATTCATGTAGCATGCAACATTTGTTTACGTGCGGGGGATGCGAGCGGCGCTTTAATTACAATACGCGAGGAAAATTAAATAATGCCGCCTAAGCGTTTCTTATGTAAGGATAATTTTGTGTGTGCTGAAATCTATGTGGTTAGTTTAATTTAGGGAGAAATTGGAGCAAGTTTGTAAAGAAAATTAAAACTAGTATTTTAATATAAAACTATTATTATGACTAGAATAATTTGACTTGTATATCAAAATAAATATGATGGATCTAATAAAAAAAAAATGTTGGCAATCGGTGAGCTTTTCTAGTCTCTTGCCAAAAAGTTGATCTAAAATATGCTTTTTGCATGCATAACTTTTAAATAAATATTGTCTTTAAACCGCATTATACATATATACATACATTATATACATCTCACTATTAAACTTTCGGCGTTTCTTTATTTTCCAGAGAAACTTTGATGTACGAAAATAATACTTGTACAAAAATAGGGGGCCTTCCATAACAGAACGGACGGCCGAATTCTCTCTAAAAAGAAATATTTAAACAATTTTTTTCCCTTCACAAATTTTTCACATACAAATTTTTTGTTAAAAAATTTTTCACATACAATTTTTTTGTTAAAAAATTTTTCACATAAAAATTTTTTGTTAACAAAATATTAGTTTTTGAAAATATTCCATCTCAACAAAAATTAAAAAAAATCACAATGGTAGCTCTGAGTATTGCGCAATATTTAAGTATAGTATTATGGGGTGCACTCTACAATAATTTGAGTTATGATTTTTTTTTTTACACAGAAGTTGACTAAGATGAGTACGTTACAAAATTAAAATTTTTTACATTTTTTCTAGAATTTTATTGAGTACGCAGTTTTGTTGCTCATTAAATTATAGATAATAAAGTGCAAGTTTTAAGCTACGGTAAATTTGCGTTGATTTTTAGTATTTTTTATGCTGACGGCGTTTTGCACTTTTTTCTTATGGAAGAAAATGAGCAAAACCGTTTTCAATGAAAATCAAAAAAAAATTAACGCCGGTTTTGCAATCGGTGAGATGACATATTTTCAAAAATTATTTTTTTTATCAAACAATTTTTATTTGAAAAATTTTTCAAGAAAAAATTTTTTTTTTAAATATATCTTTTCATAGAGAGTTTTGATATGTGTACGTGTGATTTTTTCCTTGCCCCATTCTCGAGATATTTGGAAAACTATTAAATCGATTTATTTTTGTTTTTGAGCTGTAAAGTTTTCAAACATGTATTAATCAAGCTCAAATTTCATATTTATTTATTATTTATGTTTATGCAAATAAAACACACGAAATTTGAACCCCGTCTGTTTTGGTATAGAACATCCTATATATATATATATATATATATAGGCATGTATTTAAGTAATCTTTTCGTACTGCAACTTTTCGTCTTGGCACAAACATTTATTTCCGTTGAAAACAATTTGCAAATACTATTGCAGTCGATTGACTTCGTCGAAGTCGCTTTATTTGAAAAGTTTTCAGCGGTTTTCTTACTCGTACTACTTTCTATGACTTCCTGAATTCAATGAAATTCAGAAAATGTGTACTTTCCCAGGGGTCTATGACAAATAAAATTTTGAAATGCTTTTGATTTCCTTGTTCTTACATATATATATTTTACATCATTTATTTTAACTAGGGAAATTTACAACAATTGTATGTTTATACAAATCCGGAAGCCATACTTACAACATGTCAGCCGCCAGCGAAGAAGTTGGTAAGTGAGAAATATTTTCAAATATGTGTACACTAGGGTGGTCAATAAACAATAGGAAAATCAACTTTTTGAAATTTTTTCGCTGCAACGGCCGAAACTGAAGAATATCGAAATTAAGGAGGCCCATATTTTTACTTAAAATCGGCTAGTGTTTAACCGTGCCGCCGGAGCTTTGAGGTTTTCCATATATACCCCCATTCATTTGAATAACATATCCTTTCGATCCTGAGTGCGTACAGCTTTCATTAGTTTTTTATAAAAGTGTAGCATATCCTATGTTTCAATCCGATTTTAAATTTTATACAAATTTAAAAAAACATATCAACAAAGGAGTGTGCTATTTTTATGACCCGCAGTGTGTAAGTTAATAATATTTTTAGAAAAATTTGGGATACAAAGTTTTGTAGCCCTTGCAATTTTAGCGAAGTGCGAGTTTCAAGTGGCTACAAAATACCGTTGATTATAATTATTTTATTTATTTTTTTGTTGACGGTGCTGTGCATTTTCTTCCATATAAAAATTTTGTCGAGCATACTTTGTATCTGTGAAAGAAACTGCACGGTACTATCAACAAAAAAAATTTAAAAAAAAAATGTTAAATTTGCGTTTAAGCTTGTTCTATTAAAAAAAAAACAAGCTTCCAATGAAGAAAATCTGTGCTTAAAGCAGAAATTAGTGGTTAAATGAAAATGCGGAAAGATTTTGTATGTTGTATGGTGTAAAAATTATCAGGAAATAATGTTACTCATACGCCATGTACACTAGACCGTTCGTTAAAATTAAAATTTGGTTTGCCGGGCGGAAAAAGATATGTTTTGGTCTAAAAATAAGCAGTGCAAAATTTTATTCGAATATGATAACTCTAAGTACTTGCGCGTTGCATTTGAAAATTTAGAAAACCATATGCACTCTGGGAAAAAAACAAAACAGTTGAAAGACAATAAATCGGCACTTGTTTATTAAAAAATCATGAAATATAGTTTCATTTTTTACAAGCTTTCTCTGAAATATTCTTTTCTTATCAAATTTGGCCACATTTTATTGAATTTGGCTACTGGGCACTAGGTTGACCAGATGAGCTTTTCAAGCGGTTATTAGACATTCTTTTGAGCGTAGTATTACTTGAAAATAAGGATCATAATATAAATACATAATACATTCAATAAGTACCATTGTTTCAGTTTTACAAGTATAAATGTATCGCGCAGAAACTTCCAAACCTTATCTAAAAATCAAATGTTATTTTGCTATCTCAATTTATCTTATTTTATCAACTTTTTTGCTAGCCAAAGCATGATAATTTGTAACAATTTTTAAAAAATATTTAAAACTATTGCTTAATGAAACAAACCTATTGTCAGCTGTTTTTCTAATTGCGATGTGCATAACATGCCTCTGGAAATGATATTTTAATTTATTTTACAATCAAATGTGCTGTACAGTATCGATACGTTGCTTGAATCCAATGTCATTTACTAAATTTGCTATAACTTTTCTATTTCCAAATCGATTTGCAAAAAATTTGGATCTATATACTTTGAAATTAAATAAGCTTTAACATAGCATAAAAATAAGAACAACAAGTATGCAGCTTTTAGGTGTAATTCACAGTAGAATAACGATGCGACTTAAAATTGTGTCCGAATTTACTGTTAAATTGGCAGATAACTCTTAAACTGATAATTTGATTGCAAAACATTGTATAGCAGGTTCGTAAGGATTTCAAAGACCTTTAATCTGGTGGAGATCTTTTTGTGGTGTGATAATCACAACCGGATATTTTTGGAAAAAATTGAAAATGCTGTTTTCTCCATTTGAAAAAAACGATAATTTCGCAAATTCTTAAAACGTATTCTACCTTTTTAATTTTTGACCTCATATTCAGATTGTGTAGGTTATTTTACATGGCAAATGACTATAAAATTCACGACTTTCAACTGTTTTGTTTTTTTCCCAGAGTGCATATGGTTTTCTAAATTTTCAAATGCAACGCGCAAGTACTAAGAGTTATCATATTCGAATAAAATTTTGCACTGCTTATTTTTAGACCAAAAGACATCTTTTTGAGCCCGGCAAACTGTATATTTAAAAAAATAGTTAAAATAACGAACGGTCTAATGTACACCTGAAAAACAATCTTACCTGCGCATATTCGTTCAAAAAAATCAGTTGCCATTTTCATTTGACCACAGATTCATTTTTTAATTATTCATCGATTTTCTTCACTGGTAGCTTAATTTTTTTGTAAAATAACAGGCTTTCATACAAAATATAAATGGAGAAAAAATCTTGTTTTTTTTTTTTATTTTCCCCTTGTTAAAGCTTGCATTTTTTTCATTTTTTCATCCACAAAAAAACAAAAAATCTGGATTTTTTAATTAACATCTCTTCACGCTTATCGTATGGTGATGTATATACGGTTTATGGAGAATTTTGTTAGCTTTCATTAGCCGTTATTCGTATTTACTTTGTTAAATTGGTTTGTAGGATATATGTGATATTTGACTGTTGGCCAGCGTCTGTATACTAGGAACCAGGCACCCCCTGGCCATGTGTTATTCGGCATTCGCTTTTCCACCTTGGAGTTGGCGTAATTTATGGGAAGGAGCACTACAACCAGATACATGACCACAGCAATAGTCTGTTTGCAACTGCTTCCACTTCTGGGACTGCATGTGAACGGTGGACACAAACTAAGAAGTGATACCCGTCCGTACACCTGTAGGCAGATGCCCTCTCCTACTTTAACGCCCATACATGTTATATTGGCTTTTGGCCACCCGCTTCAGTTTTGCGTAAGCCGTTTTATAAACGTATTTAATTAATGAAATCGTACATTTTCATACAACTAAAATAATTAATAAGCACAGTTTTCATTCATAAAAAAATAAATAAACATTTTTCGACTTCCTTCGTAACACCGTGAGATAGCCAATTATGCAAGTAAAAAATTAATATACTCACGAAACCACGGGCCAAATGTAATAAAACTGCGTTTTTAATTTTTCTCTCTGAAGTAAGGATTTTTTAGGACTTTTAAATTTGAAAAATATGATTACATAAACAAATTATTTAAAAAATCCAGTGCAATGTGGAAAAATAGTATGGGTAACAAATTAAAGTGAAAATTCGCTAAAATTAAAGCAAATAAAATTTTTTGGCGCACAAGGATGAGTTGGTATTGAAAATGTCCTTCTAAAGTTGTATCCTTGAAACTTTGCAATACTTATTTTTGA